TCCCAGCTCTCCCAGCCTTTCCTCCCAGCAGAGCTGCTCCATCCCTCTGATCATCCTGGAGCTTCCTCTGGACTCTCTCCAGCAGCTCCAGGTCCCTCCTGTGCTGGATCCCAGGGTTGGAGGCAGCTCTGCAGGTGGGGTCTCACCTGAGCAGGGCAGAGGGGCAGAATCCCCCCCTGCCCACGCTGGGGGCTCAGCCCAGGGCTCGGTGGGGTCTGGACTGGGGCAGGTCCAGCTCTGCCCCAGCTCCTTCTCCCAGGGCTGCTCCCAGTCCCTTCTCTGTATTTGTGCTGGGGTTGCCCCCATCCATGTGCAGATGTACAGGGGGACAATGCCAGGAGCCAAGGGGGGGAGCTGTGAGGGTCACTCAGTGCTGCCTGTGACTGACCTGAACCTGTGGCACCTCCTTAATTTCCCCAGTCCAAACCAGCAGTGAACTGGTCTGAGCTGTGGGACTTTTCTTCAGCTGGAACCCTCTAATTTGCTCAATGTCCTCAAGTTGTAACACTTGGATTTCTGCTGTTCTCCCAGCTTGCCATGGAGTCTATAACCAGAATTTGGAAAATGGTTCAAGGTTGGTTTGGCTTTGCTGCCAAAGCTGTAATGAGCTCCCTGAGGAGCTCCCCAATGCCTGCTCACTACAAGGGCTGCAGAAATGAGGAAGCAATTTAGAAATAAATACTAATATGCAAAGATATTTTCTTCAAAGCTTCAAATGAGTAAAGAGAGACTGAGGTCTAATTCAGGCAGAAAATATCATTGATTAAATAGTTTCTTTCTCTTCACACAACTCTTGCCTTTAGAATTTATTTACTTATTATGAGCACTGTTGTGTATTCCCAAAATCTCAAATGTTTTTTTCCTGTTTAGGATCAAGACCTTGTCTGAACAAACAGACTGGACTTTATAAGTTACATGTTTTTTGTAACAACAGATGTCTGTGGGTGTGTAATTTGGAGTTTAAATGGTGTTGATACTGTACCCTGAAGTGCAGATTGAGCCTATTAGGGATAGTTGGGAGAATTTCAGCATGGCTTTGGCATCACTCAGTCCTGCTGAGCCATTTAATTCTGTGTATTTGCTACTGGAGTTGCTGGTTTGAGTGTGGATTGGGATGACTGGGCAGGGCTCACTGGTACTTGAGCAAGGACATTTTCATTGTGCCTGATTCTGAAGGGATATCCCCAAATATTATCATGTCACAGCAGCTGCAGAGCCCCAGGAGACAGGAAGAGGATCTTGCATAGAATGACTTGCAGAAAGAGAAGGAATTTTTTAGTACTTTTGTAATGTCCCAAACCACCAGTCCCAGTTCAGCCAGCTGTTAATACGACTGGGAAAATGTTCCAAGAGGATAATAATTACAAATGTCCCCTGAAGTCATTCTCCTTCTAAAGTCTTGCTTCCTCCTTTCTTTTCTCCCAAATAATCATTTTGTACTAAGGCTGTAGATATTTCTGATTCTTTAAGGCAGAGAACATGTACAGACAAGTTTCCTCTTCCCAAATATTTTGAGTATCTCAGCGATTAGGAAATCTAAAATAACTTTCCTCATCTTGCATGTGAATTGAGATGCAGAGTAATTTTAAATGTGTTTGAATACCAATTCTCCCTGGAATAAGGGAAATTTTGGTGTTTAAATGCTTCTTATGGCTCTGGCCTGAAGTGACTTGCCCAGCTGTCAGAGACAGACAAGAACAGAACCCAGATATCTCCATTTGTATTTGTGTACAGCAAAAATGTACATTTGAAGAACTTGTGAAACTCAAGGCAGGTTTAGTTTATTAAAACCAGAGAGGACAAGGTTGGAATTATAAAACTGGACTGTAGATTCTTCAAAATTAATTTCCTGTCTGAGTCTCTCCTGTTCATATTTTACATTCGTAACTTGCTGGCACAGGGCAGAGGGGTGGGTATGTGCACCTTAAGAAACAATGTTAATGATTCAACCTGGACTTTTTTCTAATTTGATTTAAAAAGCAAGGTTAATGATTCAACCTTTATTTTTCTAATTTGTCTCTGCTCTAGACAAAAGAAACTAGAACAAATGATGGAAGAAGAAGGCCTTAAAGATGAAGAGGTAATGAATACAGAAAAACTATCTTAATGGTTAAATATGAGAAATTTTCTTTTCTAAATGGAGATCTGGGATCTTTCCTTGGAATTGCTGTGGTTCCTGTGGAACCCACCTGCAGAACTCTCACTGGGGTCTCTTTAAACTCTAGAAAAGACTCAGGAGGTCGGCACATGCACAGAAGGAGACAGAGTTCCTTCGCCTGAAGAGAACCAGGCTTGGACTGGAGGACTTTGAATCTTTAAAAGTAATTGGCAGAGGAGCATTTGGAGAGGTGAGTCCAGAAAAAAAATGAGTTCATGTGTTTTTAACTGGCTCTGGTGTTTGTTAAAGAGTTGCTCAGTTTATACAAGCAAAAGGTAACACCACAGACTGACTTTAGTGAACAGTCAGGTGCAGCTGGTTTTTACCTAAGAAATGCTGGTTCAATCCTGTGCTTTAAAGGAAACGAGTGATGTTGAAAAGGAGCTGATGGGCAGCTAAATGCAGGGTGGCAGTGGGTTTTAAAGGTGGACTTCTGAGGCTGGACTAAAGAAGAAGTGGAGGGCCCTTGCAAAGTCTGGTGGCCTTCAGAGAAGGGGCTTTGGACCATCTGCTTTAGGTGGGAATAGCTCAGAGTCCTCTCAGTTAAAATAACTGCAGCTCTTAGCATTGACAGGACTTTGTGCCTTTACTGTGCACTGTTCTTGTGGTTTATAATCTGAGAGGATTTCATGAAATGGAAGCCAAGGGCTTGACAGCCAACTTTGCCAGGAGCTGTGCTGGGAATGCTGGATTTGATGCCACCTTTGTGTGCCCCCAGGTGCGCCTGGTCCAGAAGAAGGACACGGGGCACGTGTATGCCATGAAAATCCTACGCAAAGCTGATATGCTTGAGAAGGAGCAGGTGAGGAACACCCTGAGCAGGAATTGTACCATGGCTCACTCTGGGAGGTCACTGTGGTGTGTGCAGAGAAGGAATAGGCATCTGGGCTTTAGTTTAGTAGCTAAAAATTCTGGGTTTTTTACCTCTTTTCTTATAGAGGAAATAAGTCAGAAAAATCTCTGAATTCACAAGGACTTGTTTTTTTTTCAACACAAAGTCCTGTGCAAATGATTCAATGCAGACTGCAAGGGCAGTGTTTTACTGCATTTCTGACTTACAGGATTAGATATAAATATCAGAGATACAACTGCTGGAATTCAGACTCAGAGACATAAAACAGCAGCATTTAACATCTTTAAGCCTTTCCTTTGCTAGTACTTCTGGATATATAATGAACTGAGACAGTCACATGTTCAGCACTTGGATGAAGCTCTTGTGTTTTCAAAAAGAGATCTAATGATTAGGTATATTTGTAAAAAAATTGAGATTTTTCTATGTAGGGTTTATATAAGGTATAGGTTTACTAGGTGTATATATAATTGATATAAAATATGTGTATATAATCAACCACATGTTGAAGTTCTGATAGTGTTTCTGCCTTTGTGCAGAAGTTTGACTTTTGTCTTCTCAATATTCGATGCTGTTCAGAATTATAACTGAATTGTGTGTGAAATAAATGCATGTAATAAACCAGATCCAATGCACTGTGTGTGTCCAGGTTGGCCACATCCGTGCAGAGCGGGACATCCTGGTGGAGGCAGACAGTCTGTGGGTTGTGAAGATGTTCTATAGTTTCCAGGACAAGCTAAACCTCTACCTGATCATGGAGTTCCTGCCTGGAGGTAACTCTCTGGAATGCAAGGGCTGCTCTCCTTTTGTTTGGGGGATTGGTAATTTCTTCATTACAAATGCAGTCTGGGACTAGAGTGCACATGGGTGCCCTGTTTGTACATCTGGGAGGGAAGCAGATTTCTGCTTTTTAGGCTACTGAGGTGTTTGGGCAGGCTTGAGGTTTCCTGTTTGGGTTTTCAGGCTGCAGGTATTTAAACTGAGCTTTAACATGCTTCTAGTGGTAGTTCCTACCCTTGCTATGCCCTGGCTGTCTATAGAGCCACAGCATATCCAGGTTTGGCAACCTCTAACCTGAATGCAGCAGAAATCGCTTTCTTCTGTAAATGTCTCCAAACTTAGTGAGAGTGGAGGCTGTGTGTTCACCTCTGGGGGGTTTGCAGGTGACATGATGACACTGTTGATGAAGAAGGACACTCTGACAGAAGAGGAGACACAATTCTACATTGCTGAGACCGTGCTCGCCATTGACTCCATCCACCAGCTGGGGTTCATCCATCGGGACATCAAACCAGACAACCTCCTCCTGGACAGCAAGGTTTGGGCTGGCAGAGAGGCCTTGTGATTGTTCTTACTGACCTGAAGGGGTGTTGACACTTGTGGAAGAAGATGGTGCTTCTTTATTTAGCCCTGTTCCTTCCAGCTTTTGAGGAATCTGCCAGATTGCAGGGGAAAATCCCCAAAGGAAAGACCCCAGCTCCACTCAGACCTGGAGCTCTTCTGACAGCTGTTTCAACTATTTTTGGCTATTTCAGATGCAGTTTAAAGCACGTGGTTTCAGTTCCCTCTCAGGCAAAGCTGTTTCCCTTTCCTCTCACATCTGTTACACTCTCACTTGGTTGTACCAAATGTGAAGGACATGGCTGTTGCAGTAGCCAGGCTGAGAGTGGAGAATCTCCCTGAGGATCAGGGTGTAGTCCTGAGGGCTGGCCAGGCTACCTGGGTATTGCAGGCACTTTGCTGAAAGCCCAGTTGTTTCAGTGTCCTCCTACTGCTCACTCCAAGTTTGCCTGAAATTAAGATTCCTTGGAAAGAGTTTGCCAGCAGTAAATAATGACAATGACTTTCCCACTACTGTGTAATGCACTGTTGGAATTACTGCAGAATCCCAGAATGGTTTGGGTTAGGAGAGACCTTGAAATTCATCCTGTTCATCCCCTGCCATGGCAGGGACACTTTCTGCTGTCCCAGGCTGCCCCATGCCCTGTCCAGCCTGGCCTTGAACACTTCCAGGGATCCAGGGGCAGCCACAGCTTCTCCAAGCACTGTGCCCAATTCAGAATCTAGACATGAATACATTTAGGACTTTGAAAAGGAGATGTATTTTATATATATATATGTATTGCACATAGTCAGTGTGGTCACGTTATGCACCAGGACAGATTCAGTCACTGAACTGAGAGTGTTTTTTATCTCTTGGGGCCAATACACAGCCCAGGGACTGCAGCTGCCTCTGGAGTGGTTTCCTTTCACCCTGAAGTGGTTGGGAACTTGCAGAGCAGAGGTTTCCTGAAGTAAACTCTCACTGGGCTTTCACTGTGGAGTACCAATGGAAGTATTGATGCCTTCATTCCCTGTACACATCCAGTGCTGGGTTTAAATAAGGAAGGTGAAGAATATTGAGAGGCTGGAGCGTGTCCAGAGAAGGGAAAGGAGCTGGGGAAGGGTCTGGAGCACCAGGAGCAGCTGAGAGACCTGAGGGAGCTCAGCCTGGAGAAAAGGAGGCTCAGGGGGACCTCCTTGCTCTCCCTGACAGCCAGGTGGGGGTCAGGCTCTTCTGAGGACCTGGCTTTAAGTTGTGCTGGGGAGGTTCAGAGATACTAGATTTCTTTTTTTTCACTGCAGGAGTGGTCAGGCATTGGAATAAGTTGCCCAGGGAGGTGGTGGAGTCACAGTCTCTGGAAGTTCAAGAGGCATCTGGATGTGGCACTTGGGGACATCATTTAGAGATGTTGATGGTGGTGTTGGATTCTCTTCCAGCCTTGCTGATGCTGTGATTTACTATGATAATGTCTTATATTGGTTTTGGATTTTTTTATTTCTAGGGCCATGTGAAACTCTCAGATTTTGGTCTGTGTACTGGACTGAAGAAAGCCCACAGGACAGAATTTTACAGGAACTTGAATCACAGTCTTCCCAGTGACTTCAGTAAGTTCTTTGGCTCCAAAGGGTAACTGATTGGTTGCTCTTGGGTCCTGACACAACTCATTTCAGTGTGAGGGTGTGGCTGCAGTGGGGAGTCTATTTTTATTTTACAGAAAATGAAAATCCACCTCAAGATGTAAAGTTGAATATTAATTTCAGTTACTTTAAACCCATTTTCATTTCCAGGAGTTTGTCTCTGAAACAGGCTCTGCTGTAGCCCTTTGCATGTGTAATAAAATGAGAACTCAGTGATTTGGTAGCTGCTGGCTGGATCTCAAGTGTTACTGAAATTAATTAACCAGCACAGTCTCTGAGTATCCAGGATTATTCTCGAGGGGAATAACTTGGATCAGGGAGTTACATCAACCCTGCAAGGATGGTTTGCTAATGAAAGACTTGATGAGATGTTGCCCATATTTCATAGGTTTGGAAGTTGCTGAGAGATTTAGGTTTGGGGTATTGACACACATCTTAAATGAGATCTTTAGTGTAATGTTTTGGGGGTAAAAATATGTTGGGTGGCCAGCAGGATTCAGTCACAGCTATTGAATCTCCTTCAGCTTTCCAGAACATGAATTCCAAAAGGAAAGCAGAGACTTGGAAGAGGAATCGCCGGCAGTTGGTGAGTAGGTTCCACCTGCTTGGAAATGTTCCTGCTGAGGTGTTGCACCCCAATGGAACATGGATTTACATGGAAGTTTTTAATGCATCTGAGTCCTGGACAATCCTGAAAGGAAAAGATTCAGGCATTTTTAAAAAGAAGAGGAATGACTCTAGTTTGTCCTTCATCCATCTGCTGAACAGCTGGTGACATATGTGCTAGAGACAGCCCTGCCATAATTATTTACATGGATATCTGAAGTCTCCCAGCCAAAATTATCAGTTCTTGCCACTTCCAGTCTCACAAAGGGCTGCTGACCCATTCCAAGGTGACCCATTCCAGGACAGTGATACCCTTCCTTGTTTTCCTGATTTTAAGACTCTTTCACGTGAAGATGTTGATTTTGTCTCTATGTATCTTGGAAGAAAGGCTTTACACACCTTTGCTAAAGGATCTCAGAGACAATCTGGTGTCTTCCTCAGAATAACCAGCCACTGTTGTGGCAGTTCTGATGTCCATGTCAGGCAGGTTTCCCTGCAGATGCTGATGGTGATGCTGATAAGTGCTGGTGTTTGTTGCAGGCTTTTTCTACGGTGGGAACTCCAGATTACATTGCACCTGAGGTTTTCATGCAGACTGGATACAACAAACTGTGTGACTGGTGGTCCCTGGGGGTCATCATGTACGAGATGTTGATTGGTAAGGAGCAGGCAGGCCAGGGCTGGAGGTGGGAATGGTGGAGCAGGACATCAGCTGTATTCATAGAATCCCAGAATTCCAGAATGGTTTGGGTTGGAAGGGACCTTAAAGCTCATCCAGTGCCACCCCCTGGGTGGGACACTCTCCACTATCCCAAGTTGCTCCAAGCCCTGCCCAACCTGGCCTTGGACACTTGCAGGGACTGGGGCAGCCACAGCTGCTCTGGGCAGCCTATGTCTGTGCTTGGGGTCAAGATCTCAGAGCATCCACTCCTTGCCTGGTCTCTGAGGTGTGTTCTGACTTTAGGAATTAGTTTTACTTGATCCAATATTGTATTTTTGATTTTTTTCAGGTTATCCACCATTCTGTTCTGAGACTCCTCAAGAGACATATAAGAAAGTGATGAACTGGAAGGAGACCCTGACATTTCCTCCAGAGGTTCCAATCTCTGATAAAGCAAAGGATCTTATTTTAAGGTGCCAGCCCCATGGTTTGCCAGTTAATACAGCTCTGATTTTTTTTGTCTTGTCTCTGTATTCTGTGCCTGTCATGGCTTGTTTCACATGGAAAAACCCTGATGCTACAAACTGTTATACACATGCATCAAATGCTGACCTCCCTTCTCAAATACTTCTGTCTCTCAAGCCATTTAGTGGTTCCTTGTCTAAAATGTGCTAAAAAGTAGCTCTCATGGAAGTGCTACTACTCTGGGAAAATGGTTCTGTTCCTTATTTTGCCTGCAAGCTTCTCATGGAAGGACACAAGTTCAATCCTCTTGACAGAGCTGACTTCTTGCAATAGCAATGATTTTGCCTTTGTAAGCACTGGAGCATACAAATGTTATCTCAGTGCTTGCTGACTCATTTGTACTTCAGTATCTGTTCTCAGGACAGAAATATAAATGTCTGGCTTTTTAAGCTTTAAATGTTCTCCTGTTCTACTCTGCTCCTGAAATAGAAAGGTCACGTTATCCTGTTGTGAAGGAATAGCACATCTTAACTGTGGCATTGGACATGACATTCCTATACATAACTGTGTGTGTTGGTTTTGCTGTGGAAGTTCTTAGTCTGCTCCATTTAAATGTTAAGAAACTGCAGCAGTATCAGTTCAGAAAGCTGTTCCATTTCTGGATGGAATGTGCTTTCGTTTTCATTCTCCCTTCATTTTCATTCTTCCTTCCATCCCAGATTTTGCTGTGAATGGGAGCACAGAATTGGTGCATCTGGTGTGGAGGAAATAAAGAGTAACCCATTCTTTGAAGGGGTTGATTGGGAGCACATCAGGTAAGAGGCTTTGCAGAAAAGCAACTGCTCTTCTCTAGGGACTGCTCAGGCCAGCCCTGGTCTGCAGCAGGGAGCAGCTGCCTGGCATTTCTCATATCCAGCTGTGGGTGAGAGCATTTTGTTCTCTACCTGAAGCTTGCTGAGGTTTAGGTACCTTCAGTCTTGATTCTGTTAAGAAATAGAAGTTGGCTGAATCCTGCTTTGTCTGCCTTTGAAATCTCAATGCTCCATCTGCTCTTCTTGGCAGAGAGAGACCTGCTGCGATTTCAATAGAAATTAAAAGCATTGATGATACCTCAAACTTTGATGAATTTCCAGAATCTGATATCCTTAAACCAACAGGTAAAATGATTGTTTGATTCTCTGTGTAAACCTCCCTCCTCTCCTGTAGAATAATCCTCCCTGTTAATCAGATCTTACTAGATGCTGATTTTTTTTTTTTTTTTTTTTTATCATGCACCTTGTGGTTCAGGGGGTGCAAGCTGGAATTTGGGTTCCAGGAGATGCAGGCTTGTAAATGATGTGGGAGTTGCCTGAGAAAGGGCAGTAGAGCTTCCAGAAAGTTCAAATCTCAGCAGGGCCTGAGAGCCCAATGCTGCAAGTTCCCCTTGGTGCTGATTCCTGCTGGAGCAGGGGTAGGGAAGGGTGGAACTGAAGGGGATGTTTTGGTGTGAATCTCTGAGGGATCACAGCATAGTCACACATTTGCCCCATGAGTTTAAAAACAGAATCCCAGACTGGTTTGGGTTGGAAGGGATCTTAAAGTTCATCCCATTCCAACCCCTGCCACGGGCAGGGACACCTTCCACTATCCCAGGTTGCTCCAAGCCCTGTCCAACCTGGCCTGGAACACTTCCAGGGATTGGGGCATCCACCACCTCTCTGGGCAACCTGTGCCAGTGTTCCATAGCTCATATTGCAAAAAACTTCTTCTGTGTGGTCTGAATCTACCCTCTTTTAGCTTAAAATGCTTATGCCATGTCCTATGTCCTGTGTCCCAGCAGTTCTTTCCTGCTGGTTGAAGCACCAAAACTGCATCCTGCATTTAGGATATTTTTTTTTTCCTTTAGAAACATTAATCTAGTGTTTTGTATGAAAATAAACTCTGCAGTTCCAAAGGATAATTCTATTTCTTCTATGTCTTCCCAGTGGCAACAAGCAACCACCCAGAGACTGACTACAAGAACAAGGACTGGGTTTTTATCAATTACACCTACAAGCGTTTCGAGGGCCTGACAGCCCGAGGAGCAATTCCATCCTACATGAAAGGAGGGAAGTAACACAGCTTTACCTGGGACTGCTGAGCCATGGAATTCTGTTGCTGTACTTTGGGTTTATACTCATAAAAGAACTTGTTGTTTTTGTTTTTTTTTTTTTAAGAAAACTTGAGGGCTGTCAGCTCTTGGAGAAGACTTCAGGACCCTGTTTTGTTACACACCTGGTTGTTATTAAGGATTTTTTTTTTTTCCTGTGCCATTGAAAAATTCCACAGGTTTGCATCATCTCTGCTGCCAGCACCTTTTGCTGCTTCAGGAGCAAGAGGTTTTTTTTTTTTTGTATTCTTTGCCAGACTGTCCAGTCCATCGGGAGATGAGAGCAAGCTCTCCCTTTGGCATTGCAAAGCATGGGATTCTATAGGACTGCATCCAGTCCTGCATTAAGTGACAAACTCAATCTGCCAATTCTGCCAGCACTGTTTGCCCAGTAGCTGAGGACTCCAGGACAGAGGAAACAAAGCAATAATTGAAGCTTGAGACAAACAACTCCCCAGGAAACTGTCTAGCAGAAGGACACAACTTGGATTGCCTTAACCTTACTTTGTAGTGCTGTTTTTATAATGTTCCATGGAAGCCTCTTCAATAGCATTTCTCAGCTCTGTCGCTGTGGCCCCCAGTTCTGGTGCACTTTACTTTTGGTACTAAGTGACCCTCAAGCCATTTAATATTTTTTCTAAATTAAAAGAGTTTGCAACACTTTTTTGCTTTCCTAAATAGAGGAGAAATGGGCCATTTCCTCCACTAAGCGCTGCGTTTTTGGTTACTGTATGTCAGGATGGATCTATAAACAATGCAGATAAACTACAGCTGGTCACATAAGTGGGTCTGGAATTAGAGCAGAGGGAGGGAAATTCCAGGAACCTGATCCTTGGTGGGCAAATTGTGCACAGCTGGGCCAGCCCTGAGGCTCCCCAGGCTGGCTGCTGAGCTCTGCTGCATCTGCAGTGGTTTAAAGGCCAAAACTCATCTTCTGTGGCCTTTTTGCTGTTGGTTTGGAGCAGAACAGGGTCAGAATATTGCTGATGGAGCCTGCCTGGTGTCCCCTCACAGAGCTGTTCTTGCTGTCCTGGCTGTACCATCTGTACCCACAGTGTTCCATGGATGGTGCCTCATGGGCTCACTTTTGGGGCACTGGAACCCACCGTGTCCACTCTTTGATTGTTGCCTATTCTAATTTATAAAAAGTAAATTCAGTTCTGATCAGGGTCTCTCCAGGTGAGCCCCAAAGTGCCTTTCCTTGCTTAAGCCTCTCTCAGAACATGAGAGCATCTTGGGAGGGAGGATTCTGCCTCAGCTGAGCTTTTCCTAATTCCTTTTTCTAGCCACGAGCTCCACTTTGTGTCCATTTGTAGTTAACTCTGCACTTCCAGGGGCAGAGGCATTGACCCTCGGGCCTGCATGGTTCCAGTCTGGAATTTACAATCAGATACTAAAAACACAATTCAATGAGGTTTCTAAAAGCATGTCTCAATACAAATTGTCTTGGATTCCTGCCAATTTCTCTTGGTGCTGAACACTAACTCTGGAGTACAGATGAGACAAAGCTCCGGTGATGTCTCACAGGAAAAAAAAAAGGCTTCCAGGTCTGTTTAGTCCTGACTTTCTTGATTAGAAAATGAAACAAAATGGATTTGTAGTGGAACTTGTTTTTTACATAGGTGCTTGTAGGGAATGTTTACCTAGATGTCTCTTGACTCGAGTGCCATCCTGCAGGACTGGTGGGGGACTGCCAGTACTGTACAGAACTCGTCAGGGTCCTCCCCTCACCACCCCTGTGCTTTTTGTCCATGTCCTACGAGTTTATGACTTGCCATAAGCAGCTGGATCCTACTGAGCTGAAATGCAAATCCAGCCTTAATGAGAAGCCCCAGGATCTGTGTGGTCAGAAGGGCTCACTCAGATGAATAAGGACTAACAGAAGGAATGATTGTAGGATCAGGCTTTCATCAACTCATCCCTAGGTCACATTCTGCTCCCTTTTTATGACTTTACATGAAGGACTGATACCAGCTTCTCAAACTGTTCCATCCTTATCCTGCAGTTTCTTCGAGCCATTTGAAAATGTTGCCTTATAAACCATTGGAATTAATGTAACACCATTTTTTTTTCAATTCCTACCAGCTTAGTTACTGCCTTAAAATTAAAATCAAAATCCTTTGAAGCTGCTGTGGATTAGGAACAAACGATTTTGAGATAATAGCTGCATTCTTAGCCCTTTACTGAAAGGGACCAGCATTTTTATTTGTAAATACCAAAGATGAAAAAGCTAAACAATTTTAAGTTGTGATAAGTTGCTGTGAAAAACCAACTCTCTAGTACTGTGTATTGTGCATTTTTAGTGCTGTGTTTGAAGTGGGACCCCTCAGCTGTGTCACTGGAGTCCAAGGTGAAGTTTTCAAAGGCACGAGGAGGAGTTGGGTACCTCATTCCTGTTGTCTTCCAGCAAAAGTTGGACGTTTTTGAACCCAGTCCTGTTGGACACACCTTTGCAGTGGGAGGTTCTGTATCTCAGGTGCAGTGCAAGCTTGCATCCTGTTCCAGGTTTTTACCAACCTTGGGGAAAAAAATGTCTCCTACAGTGTCTCCTTCCCAGGATCCACACTTCACTGCTAACAGTAAAGATTCTGTATGCCTGTTACATCTCCCACAGTAGCCAAACATTTGTACATTTTTTTGTGTTTTGAGGTTGTTAGTATCTTTTACCTCTTTTTTTTTTTTTGTAAAGCTGCAGTTGCTGGATTTGTAGAAGTAATTCCAATCTGAATTTCCAATGGATCTGAACATCTTATGCTGCCAGTTCATCTCTGTATCATGCCTAGCAAAAAGCTGCACTAAGTGTTTCTTATCACTGTGCCCTGACTCTGCCTTAACCTCTAAGTTGAAAAAGTGTTCTGTAAATATTTAAAAGCTGTTACAAAATTGCACTGTACAATTTGGCAGGTATAGTCACCTTTTTATGGAGCGATCTCATTGTGTTGTGTAAATAAAATCCTCTTAGTAAACACATTCCTGTTGGTATGTTGTGTTTTACAAACAGGAATCAGGGAATCCTGGAATGGTTTGGGTTGGAAAGGACTTTAAAGCTCATCCCATTCCACCCCCTGCCATGGCCAGGGGCACCTTCCACTATCCCAGGTTGTTCCAAGTCCCATCCAACCTGGCTTGGGACATTTCCAGGGATCCAGGGGCAGCCACAGCTGCTCTGGGCACCCTGTTCCAGAGCCTGCCCACCCTCACAGGGAGGAATTCCTTCCCAATATCCCATCCATCCCTGCCACTCTCCTTGTCCAGCTCCTGATGAAGAGTCCTTCTCCACTTTTCTTGTAGCCCCTCCAGGTAGTGGGAGGTGCTCTGAGTTCTTCACACAAATCCCAACTTGTTCAAACTCTGAGTGCCCTTCACAAACTTCATCAGGAGAAGCCTGGAAGTACATCCAAGGCTGAAGATGGAAATCAAAGCCAGACCTGCTCCAAAGCTGTTTTCTTCTGAAGACAAGTAGGTAGAAGTGGAGAGCACTTTTCACAAAAATACTGGGGCTTGTTGGAGATGCTGCAGTTTGTGGTCAAGGAGTGTTGTCTGTGCTGCCTTTAGAACATCACTGCAATGAGCTGTAGGGATAAATGAACTCTGAGATGCTCTCAGCACAAATGGTGGGAACACTTCCCTGCCAAAGCAGGCTCTGATGCCAAACTACTCCTAAGACTCCAGAATCCCAACCCACGCTTACTTCATGAAGCAAGGAAACAAAACCTTGTAGCTCTCTATGTCCTGCTTGTTCTTTACTCCACATTTAAAACAATTTTTAAAGGAGCCAAACGAGTCACATATAATTTATACTTTAATAGAGAAAAGAAACCACACATCTGGGGTTCATACAGAGCACAGGAGCACTTCAGTACATCTAGAGTAAGACAAAAGTTGACCTTGTACTTGAAGTAGGTGACTGTGAGAGGAGGAAAAGCAAACACTTTTAAAATCTGGTTCAGAGTTCCAGTGGAACTCACTCTACTAACAAAATTTAAAATCCAAAATGAATAATTACTTGGGAAAGCCAATAAGCTACCGTGGGTAAGTGGAAATCATTGGATCTGGATAATGTCCATCCCATTCTGAAGCTCCAGTTGATTGCACAGGGAATCACAAGCTCCTACAGAACTGGCAGTCTGTAACTCCCAAGAGGGCCTGGTGCAGTTTAATAAACTTCCTGAATCCTTCCAGAGGCTGAGCTAACCCTGGGCTCAGGGACACACTGGGTGGGATTTGGTTTGGCTGGACATGGTACTTCAGCTGTCAGATCCCCAGAAGTGCTGTTGAGGTGCAAATGTCAGAACCTGATGCCTTGACACAGTCCTGAGGAGCTCTGAACAACACCCACACTTCACTCCTTAGAGCAGAATGTGTGGAACCTCCAATTCCAGCTCAGCTAGGCAATACCAACAGTCATTTACTTAATCCTGACACTGCTGGGGAAATAAATACACACTGGAAAACAAACACAGAGCCTGGAGGCCATCACTGCTGGGCACCCAGGGCCTAGGGACACATTCCACCACTGCTGGGGCCACTAGTGCTTCTGTTTGTGCTGAGGAACAGCTCATCACCAAGGCAGGGAGTGGGGTTGGTCTGGCCCCTGGTGGAGGTTCATGGCCCATGTGTCTTCCTTCCTCCACCACATGAACAGCAATTCCTCTGGAGCAATAATGGAGTGTCTGCACATCACCCCAGCTCTGTGCAGGCACCAAAGGACACTTCTCTCCACTGACCCAATGACACACAGGGAGGAGTTTTCAAAAGCAGTCAAGTGGAATTTGGGCATCTGAACACCTGGGACTCGTAGGAGGTCCTGAAATCTTCCCACAGGCACTTCTTTTTAGAAGAAATCAATTTGCTGCACTTGGGAAAGAATCTAAGAACAGAAACACTGGAAGAATGAAACTTGTATCCATACTAATGGAAACTAAAATGTGCCTTGGCAGAGATTTGTTGCTTGCAACAAAAAATTTCAACTTGATTTTGTTATGTTGCACTGAAAACCACAAACACCTTAGCAGCAACCAGCAGCAAACTTCACTGCTCAATCCACCATGCTCTTGGCAGTCAGGAGGACAACAATACAAATTTTCCTGATGCTGCAGCCCTGCCAAAGAAAAGGATTAAACTTTCTAGAGCCAGACTGATACCTACACCTCAGTTTTGCCCAGTCTGACCAGGTAACTCAACATCCACACAATCCAGATTTCAACACCTCTGCCAGAGCAGCACTGACCTGCCCAGCTTTGTGAGGAGCTCTGTCCTTCTCTTTCTTCTTGAATGGTTTCAACTTTTCTTTGCACCAGCACCACGTTTAAAAACTCTGGTTTGGGTACACAGAGCCTGTACAGAGCCATCAGAAGGGATGGCTTTGTGAGGCAGCCCTGCTCTGGTGCCCTCAGCTCGGCTGGGGCAGTGCAGAACTCACTGTGTGCTCACCAGGGTTAAGTCAGCTCCTACAGGGAACTCCCACAGGGAATTCAGTGCTGCAGGAGCAGGACCAGTGAGGCTCCAATCCACCTGAGCTAAAGCAGCCTGGAGTGTACTTTTCCTTAGATTTGTTGGCCCTGAACCCAAATTGCCAGATCAGGACAATACACTCAGAGCAGCAAAGGACAATTTTTCCCAGGTTTGTGCATTTTTCTCTCCTGAGGGCTGGTTTACTATTGGTATTTCTTACCTGCCTGACAGCAGAATGGTCCAGTCATTTCCAAATTGGGAAGAAAGTAGCTGGCTTTTTAAAGCTGCAGCAGCAGCTCCTTGGAGAGTCTACAGCAATTCTGACTGACTAAGGTTGATGAGACCAAGGATTTTACTCAGGTAGTAAACTGGGAGGAGCTCCTCCACTGGCTTTATTTGTCTTAGTAAGGGGATGGAGAAGACAGGTCAAAGTCTTCAGCATGCACAGTCACCTCTAGAAAGCTTCTTACATCTATCTGGCTATTAACAGATTTATTTTATTGGTAAAATATTGGCTACAGTCTCTTTTGGGTTTTCCTTCAGCATAATCAACTCATTTTACTGAACTTAACAGAACACATCCCTAAAAACAAAGATTCCATCTCATGGAGAAGTACAGATGGGGAATTCCTGTGAACAGGCATGTGCTTCCTATGGAACTGGTTCCTCCTTCCCTAGGGCAGCAGTACACCACGCTGGATCCAAAGCCAGGTGGCAGTGCAAGCAGATTCCTCCACGCTCAGGGTTTTGCTGTCACACTGTGCTACATTTCTGCTGGTTGATATAGAATATCATCTGTCCTGCTTTGACGTTCACTCCTCTGTAACTCACAAAAACAAAGCTGTGCCTAATTGTAAAGGAAAACTTTGTCTTGACAGGCCCAGATTTTCCTCTCATGTCAAACAAGACGTTCCTACACACTTGTGCTCTTCTTTCAGAAGTTTAGATAAAATATTCAGCACCCACAATCCGGAAGCCTTTGTAGTAGAAACAACAGGTCACTTCTTTTTGTCTGAGGAGATGTTGCTTTTGATTGCACAATTAAGACCATGGAGTGTGGCTCTTTATTAACATGCTTGAAATATGACAAGGTAATAAGAGCACGAACGAGGATGAAGCACCTTGCAGGAGTCTGTGTCCCATCAGTGGGATGAAAGCACGGTGAGAGGTTCCCACATTCTCAGGATTCTCCACCCTGAGCCCCACTAATCTGGCAGATCGTTCACAACCATTTGGGAGAAGGGGGCGTTCAGCCTGTCCAGTTCATCCACTTGTGGGGGGTGATGCATGATAACCTCGTGGTCCTCTGACACATCATCCCCCACCGTGACCAGGTTTGTCAGGGATTTGCTGCGAACACACTGGAAATCCACGTGGCGGCTCTTGCCCTCCTCCTTCTCCCAGGACATCTGGATGAATGGCCTCTGCACGTAGTTATAAATCACCTCAGAGCGGCCACCAGGCCTCCTCTTCACCTTCTCCTTGCACGTGGGGTACCCTGGAAACACAGACAGCCACTCACTTTCACTGCACCTCACAAAGGGACAACAGTGTTCCAGAACATCCAGGTAGAGGTCACTGAGGGGTCAGGGTGGGACACACACACAGCTCAGTACACAAATGCTCAGATTTCACATTTAGCATTACTGGCTTGCAAAAGACTGTTCTCTTTTCCCCTGCAAAGGAGTCCTGAAAGGCTGAATGTCCTTCAAGAAGGAAAACTTAAAGCTCCAGGGCAGGTCATCCCCATGTACCAAAAGATGAGCCAGTGAGGATGAGAAGGAAAAATGGGCAGATAAATCAGGAAGACTATGAGGATGTCGTGAGGTTATGTGAGGAGAAAAGGAGGAGCCAAGGCTTAACATGAGCCCAGGTGGGCAACAAGGCCAAGGGCACCTGGGCTGTACCAGCCATAGTCTGTCCAGTAGGCCCAGGGCAGTGACTGTCCCCCTGTGCTGGGCACTGCTGAGGCACCTTGAGTACCGAGTTCAGTTTTGGGTCCCTCACAACAATAAGGACATGGAGGGGCTGGAGCGTGTCCAGAGAAGGGAAAGGAGCTGGGGGAGGGTGTGGAGCATCAGGAGCAGCTGAGGGAGCTGGGAAGGGGCTCAGCCTGGAGAAAAGGAGGCCCAGGGGGAACCTTGTGGCTCTGCACAGCTCCCTGACAGGAGGGGGCAGCCAGGTGGGGGTTGGGCTCTGCTCCAGGGAACAGGGACAGGACAAGAGGAAAGAGCCTCAAATTGTGCTGGAGTGGTTTAGATTGGCTATCAGGGAAAATTCCTTCCCCAGGGTTTTCCAGCCCTGGCACAGTCTGTCCAGGACAGTGGTGGAGTCACCATCCTGGAGGGATTTAAAAGATGTGTGGATGTGGCACTTGGGATGTGGTGGGTTTAGCAGTGCTGGGTTAATAGTTGGACTCAATCATCTCAGGGGGTTTTTCCAACCTAAATAATTCCATGATTCTCTGACAAGAGGGTGCAGCAGTGTGTGTAGTCAGACTGCAGGTGCTGCACAGCACCAGCCATTCTGTGAGCAAACACAGCTACTATAAAAATAAGTCTCCCAGGACAGAGCCCAGCATTCTCTAAGCTCCCAAAGGAAATGCTTGGATCAGCAGGTGGAAGCATTTGACTCTGTTTCCTGTTTACTCATTCCTCAGGAGACAAGTCTTTCTCGTACATGTTATGTACCTTTTACTTGCCTTTAACTTTTAAGCCCCCTGGCCAATTTCAGTGGAACATGGTAGAGGTAAAGGAAAAACATGCTGAGTTTTAACTGGTTTCATAAAGATAAATGTAAAACACAGAGTAAACAAGGAAATGCCTGGAGTCTAGAAGAAATCAGGCTTTGCTGACTGTGGAGTCACCTGGTTTTTCATTTCCCTGCCTGAAGCAGCACTTTACCTTCGATGCCAATGCGAATGTTCTTCAGGCCCCGCTCCTTTAACACGGCTTTGGCCACGTCCCGGTTCTCGATGTACTTGAAGAATCTGTACAGCTTGGAACTGTAAAGGACTTGAGAAATAAAAAGGGTGATTAGAATCTACAAAGAGGAATCTTCTCCCTGCTTCTGACATGCCCTGCTGATGCCAAAAGCCAGGTGTGGATTCCAAGAATTACTTCAGGTCCCTGTTTTCCTCACTGCTATTAACGGCACTTCCTTGTGGGAGGGCAGAGATGCACATCACAGTCTTGATAGACTGGGTGGTGATGGGAGTGGAAAACAAAGAATATTCCCTTACTAAGGAGCCAGGAAAAGGCTGAGGGGGAGGTAGAAACAGAAGGACAAGTGCAGTGAGTGCTGGGATCAGGTCTAACTAGCCAGGTGCTGTCTCCAGCAGCACCAGCTCATACAGAGCACACAAATCAGGGTTCCACATGCCAGCATTTCCTCCTGGAGGAAGCCAGTTTGGGAACGTGTCCTTTCCTTATGGCTGGGTGTGGGAAGATAGGTTCAAAGGATAGTACAGAAGGCAATTCCTTTCAGTGAATTAGAGCTGTATTGATTACTGATGGTGGAAACATCTCTGCCTGCCCAATGAGTTTGGGCTTTATAAAAGAGTGGGTTAGCTGGCCACAAGTTAGAGCTTAAGACTGAGAGTCTGATGCAGTTTGGGATGGAGTCTGCTGGCTGTGCTGTGAGGAGATAAGGGACATGCAGTCATGTAAGGGACAGACAGGGCAAGATGTTGTGAGGGACAGTCAGGGTTAGGTCAGGTTAGGGACAGCTTGGGGTTAGTCAGTTGTGCAGAAGGAAGAAGGAAACTTGCAGAGAGGACAGAAGGAGACAGAGCTCTGTGGAGCTGCCTGTAAGGAAAGGAGTCAGTGCTGTGTGGAGCTGCCTATGAGAGAAGGAGTTCGGGTTGCCTGAAAAGAGTCCATCGAAAGAAGGCATGGAAAGTTTTCTAATAAAGGACTGGTGATGATGGCAGTCGTGTCCATCTCCACACAATAACTGCAGTAGCTGGGTGTGTGTGGAACAGAGTGCAGAGCCCTTACTTTGTGAATACTCCTCTCCCATGGGAGGTGGATGATCCTCATCCCAGTCCACGGTGTCCTCATCAGTCAGCACGACGATGTGACACTCGCGCTCGCCCTTCCTCGCGCTGTCCACCATGATGGGCAGGATGAGCTCCTCCAGGTAGCTGTCAAACTGCTTGTGAGCCCCATCATTGGACAGCTCGTGTAACAGAGCACCTGAGGAGACACACATCACAGGAGCTTTGCTACAGCATGGAAATAGCTCAGCTCTGCACTTCCCAGATCCATGCACGAGCACAGCCACAATTCCTCTTCAGACAAAATGCTCAACATATGTTCAGACACATTGGCAGCCTCCAGATCCAGAACTGGCAAAGTCAGAAGTGCAGACTGCATTTCAAATGGGATGCAAATTTCGCTGCAGAACCACTCCATTCCCATTAAAAACCCACCAAGCTCCAATCAATACAGTGAAACAGTAACAGACTGAATAATTAATTCATTATGACACTTAACTCGAATTTCCAGCAACAACCTCTGCCCTTGAAACTACATTTTGCTGCCTTCTCTGTGATCACTCATCAGAGCACAGGGCAGGAAATTCCACCCACAGCCTGTGTTATCATACCACACACCCCATTTTAGTAGAGTGCCTTTCACAGATTTGTCTGTGTTAAAAGTACTTCTTTTTGCCAGCATGCCCACCAAAAAGCTGCTCCAAATCAAATCCCTTCATGACCAGGAATTCTATTACTCTCCAGATTTGGTATCCTTGGCTCGTGCTCTGCCCATCAGCCTTTAGCTTAAATTATTCATGATTCTCTGGTACACTTTGGATAGGGGTTATAATCCTGCTTTTAGCCTTCATTTTGTTGGCAGTAACAGCAAATTCTGCTCAGCCTCTGTTAGAAAAAGAGACTAAAATGTTTATAATTTGCTTTTGGAGCAAAGTACCTGTGTTCTGAAGGATTCAGTCACTTCACTTTGGATTGAAGCAGCCAAAAATAAGCTGTTTAAATGCAACTTAAGCCCCAGTGAAATCAACATGTTCATGCTTAAACTAAAGCACAGGATTAAGAACTGCACTGAATCAGGATCAGAGTGCTGAACGCCCTGCAGATGATCTCCTAGGAGCAGATTTCTCTCCATACTTACTTAAATCTTGACATTTAATTGTGTTGAAATCAAAGTTTATGCAGAGGTAATCACATGTGTCTCGAAGGTCTGGGATGGAAATCCCATCAGGGCAGTTAATGATTCCGGTTTTGTAATAATCCTGTGAATAAAAGGACAGTTTTTGGAGAGAAGAATTAAGAACATCTTGGACTATGATAATTCCTAATTAGTCCTTTATTTTGTTTACTAATATTGGAGAGATACTGAAACTATTTATAGCTCAGTAAGTACAGTAAAACAGCCCTGCTGGTCCGAGAATCTACATCATTTTGCAGATCCTCTAGGGTCTGATAAATTATGAGCTCCAATTAAAACTTTTCCATAGCACAGGCTTTCTTAACATCTCATATGCAATATGTATTTATAGTACAACCACAAGATCAGGATACAGCTCAGGAATTGCAACAGCAGGACACAGAAAAGCAGGACACAAGCAAATATCTGAAATGTGGACTTATACCAAAGCCTGCTATATTTTTTCTTTAGAAATCACAATGCAAAATGTAAAACTAGGATGTCCCAGGGAGTGCAGCTGCCTGGAGATGGCTCAGCTGTGCAATGTGACAAACAGATTGTTTGTTTCTTTTCCCCCCACGAGCAGAGCTGCCCTTACCAGCACGGTGCGGAACACGGCTGAGCTGATCCCTTCTGCGATCTCGTACTCGCCCTTCTCATTTGGCCGGGTGAAATTGTATTCTCTGCCTGGCCCAAACATCCTGAAGAGGTGAAGAAGCATGTAAGTGCACAGGAACAGCGAAATGCATTTATTCCAGAGACAAACTGATGCACTGGAGTTAAAAAAAAAATTCTTTCCTGTGAGGGTGAGCAGGTCCTGGCAGAGGCTGTGGTTGCTCCAGTCCTGGAAGTGTCCAAGGCCAGGCTGGATGGGGCTTGGAGTAACCTGAGGTAGTGGAAGGTGTCCCTGCCCATGGCAGGGAATGAAATGAACTGAGCTTTAAGGTCCCTTGCAGATGAGGCCATTCCATGATTCTGTGAGGAAGCCCAGCAGTGACACAGAGATACAGTAACTTGAACTTCCACTTCAACCCCTTCCTCAGTAAATAAGGAAAGAGCTGGCTCAGGGAGGCCTGGCCTCTGTTGCTGTGGCCACTGCACTCTAAGGAACAGGCCAAAGGAACAGATCATTCAGTCCTGGGGCAGAAAATCCCCTGTCAATAAAGCCTTTGCACTGACTTACACCAGATAACTCCACATGGCTTTAGATGCCTTGTTTTACACAACAACCCATGCAAGGGTCAGTGACCCAACAGAACCCTTTGGTCAGAGATGGGGAGAGTGCTGGCAATACAGCACACGAGGATTTCTTGGTGCAGCAACAGGCTCCAACCTCTCAGCAGGAGCTGAGTGCCTTCTGTTTTGGGAGAGTATGGAGAGGTGACAGCAGGAGGGGATGGGGCATTATCACATTCCCCATTCAGGAGCAAGGTTATCAGCTGGGGACAGATGTACAGCTGACAGACCAAGCAAACACTTGGGGAGAAGGCAAAAGGAGATCTTCGGCTAAAAGTGTTCATTTTTTCATGGACATGGACCAAAGGGAGACTTATCTAGAGAGCTACCAACTCTCCATCTGGGCCTCACTCACAGCCAAATTCTGACTGAGGTCACCGTGTGTACAGATGACATCACAATACAAACATTACATGTTTATTCCATTAAAAAAAACATTTAGACTGACTTGAAGGTAACCAGAAGTGACTCACCTTCCCAGCATGGTGTCAGGGTGAGCAGTGAAGATCTGGGGGTTCACTGCAAAGCGGGTGCCATCCACCACCAGGGTCACTTTCTCTGGAGCTACTGTCTGGGAACTGCTGCTTGAAGACACTGCACAACATCCATGGCGTTCCTGGGTATTAAAATATTCCAGCTGTCTTTTATTTCCATCTGGGATATGGCAGTTGTGAGGTTCTTCAGGAGCAGACAGCATGCCACTGATCTGGGGACTTACTGGGCAAGTGTTGTGTCGGCATTCAGAATCCAAACCTGAGGGACAAACAAACATTTTTTTTGGAGGAGAGAATTAATTGAAAAACATCATTTCATAGTAACACTTCCTACTGAAATGAGAAAACTGAGTCATGCAATAATTAAGGATGCCATAACTGTCAGGGTGATGTTATATGACATAAAACTAGGCTGTTATTGAACTGAACCAGCAGCTGGATGTTTTGGTGAGCCATGGGGCTTAATGTTCCCTGTGAGAGCAAGACAGATTCAGATTTATCTGACGAGCAGGAACACAGGAATTAAACAAGGCCAGAACTACAGACCCAGGCTGCTGGAAGGACTCCCACAGGAAGCTGAGCAGCAGCACACACCTCACCAGAGTGGTGTAAGGCAGCAGTGCCCAGTGCCAGCCCTGGTGGGCACACAGGACTGTCCAGATGGCTGCAGAGAATCTGATCAGGGCCAGCTCCGGGCTGGCCAGGGCATTGCTGTGGGATGGGCTTGCCAAGATGCTGAACTCTGCTGTGAACTTCTGTCCTTTAGAGCAGCCTGGCACAGGCAGGGCACATACTCCCCAGTGCAAACTGCCCTTTTCCAAAACAGAACACCCCTTAAAGCCCAAAAAGTAATCTCCCTTAGAGATTACAAGGTTGAGGGCATTATCCTTACCCTCAGTCCTGGGAACTGCAGGGCTGTGACTTCCTAACACCACAGAACTTTCTTCTGACTCATGGGCTGCTACAGTTCTGTTTTCCACAGGACAACTGGACTCCAGATTTCTCACCCAGTCTGTGCCCCCAGCACAGTTCCCATTCATGCTGGGCCTCCGTGCTGTGAGGAGTTGGTGGCGTTTCCTAAGAGAAGAGCTGGAGAGAAAATCCACGTTGTTAGTTTTGGAAGAAACTCCCAAGCAATGAAGTTCAAATGCCTGTATCTGGTACCACAAACAAGGTCCCTCAGGCTCAAAAGGCATTTCTTCAGGGATTTAACTGTTTCAGAGGCTTATGGTGCTAGTTATGCCCCTACTTTCACCTGGGAAGAGGGGAAAAAAAAGATTTTGAAGTAATCAGGGATCTATTAAATCTATTTAATCTATAGATCTTCACTTTTTTAAAGGTAAGTCTAAAACCACTGATGTCTTTAGATCACACGTGTGTTCCTGCAAATGCCTTCCTGGCAACTCCTGCAGACCTCTACAGTCCTTCAAAAATGTTTATATTCTTCACTCTCAGTCCTGGCCAAATGAGCTCTGTAACATGGTTACAGCCTGAAATATAACATTTTCCCAGATAACAGCTCAGGCATTGCCTCTTAACCACTCTGAGGTCTGACCAGGAGGTTCCCTGCTCCCAATCATTGCTTGGTTTTGGTTCTTCTTGATTTATACTGTGCTGTCACACAGTGCTCCCCCTAGTACTTAACCCACTGCAGCCCCACAACAAACACTTGCATGGTGCAGAACAGCCATGGCTGGAGCAGCCCCACGATGCTTCAACCACTGCCACTCACATCTGGAATGCTCTTCCAGCATATGCAGAGACACAGCTTTCTTTTCTCCCCCAAGTAAAATTTCTTCCTGCTGTCTTTAAGACCCACTTCCCTCCTTTGTATCTCCTAACAGATCAGACCTCTTTGCTGTCTCTTTCCCTCATTCTCTCTGGCATTTGTTTTGCCCTGGACAAGAACCAGCTCTCCCTTCTTGGCTTCAAGTGGTTTCCTTTCACTCTCTCAAACATAAAACACCAATTTCCTCATTAATGAATTTTTCCACTTTCCCCCCTGCAGAACAATTGTCCTGTGTCTTTCCCTTGGCTGAGTGAAGACTGCAGGACCTGCGGGTGCCATCTCTGACGCCTGGCAGAGACAAAGCAGATAAAACACAGCACAAAGAAAACAGCAAAATGCCAAGTCAGAGTTGTTGAATTCTCTGTCACCTGCTGAGGGTGAAGGCCTTAATGAGAAGTTCAGTGGTGGGTTCCAAGCCCATCGTTACTGGCAGTCTGAATTAAGCATTTTGTTCTTAATGAGAATTTACAAAAGGAATAAAAATGCATTCCTTTTGTTCTGTAAACCCAATTCTAAGTTGCCAGCATTATTATATCTGTATATTTTTAGAAAATCTGCTGCTTACACATTATGTGATGGTCATCCAAAGGAAGATTTTTGGCAACAACCAAACCATTTCTTTCTTTAAAGGCTCTGGCTGGCAGCACAGTGACACAAGGAGCCCTCAAGGGTCATCTCAGTCCCAGCAACCTGAAGAGCACCCAGAGCACTGCCTCCCCCTCTGCTCTCACCAAAACACCCAGGGTGGGAAAACTCCCTCTCCCCACACCCTCCAGGCTGCTTTCCTGACCTGGCTGCCTAACCCTGGAGAAACCTCTCAGCAGTCCCAGCAGAAACCCCTGTGAATGCTGCCTTGTACCTGGGAATAGCTCAGGGAATATCCTGAGCTGGAGGAGAACATCAGTATCAGTCCACCTCCCTGTGCTTGCAGGACCACCCACAACCAAACTGTGTGACCAAGCACCCTGCAGGGAGAATCATGGAATATCCTGAGCTGGAAGGGCCCCAAAGGGATCACTGGGTGCAGCTCCTGGCCCTGCACAGCCAGCCCAACAATCCCACCCTGTCCCAAGAGCTCTGGCAGCCTCGGGGCTGTGCCCATTCCCTGGGAGCCTGGGCAGTGCCCAGCACCCTCTGGGGGAAGAACCTTTCCCTGATATCTGAAGTGGAATGGACCTGGTCACACATGAACAAATCTTTTACCTGAACAAAGGTAACACAAAGTCTGTGTGGACAACCTGAGCAATCCTCTGCCCTCTTCTCTCGTGTGTCAGAGCAGCAAAGGGGTGGTACAAAGTCCAGCAGTGCTGGGCAGTGGGACACAGGGGTGTGGAGGGAAATCTAAATATGAAAACCCACGTACTCTAAAACACCTTGGAGGGGGAAAAAAAGCCCAACACCCCCCCAAAGCCTTTAAATCAATTCCAGAATTGACAATATGTCCAGTAGAACAAAAAGTGAACTATTCCCCTCTTTCACAGCACTGTAATTATTGAGGAAATGGAATTTTTCAAGACTGCAAATGTTAAGGTAATTATACAACTAATACTGTGATTTCAAACACATTCACTGAATTATTACATTGTATGTTTTGACCCTGAGATTAGCTCAGTTGGCTGGAGCATGATGCTGATAACACCAAGGTTGTACATTCAATCCCTGCATGGGCCATTCACTGAAGAGTTGGACTTAATAATCCTTGTGGGTCCCCTTTCAACTCAGGACATTCTACAATCTGTAATCTAAACCAAAATGCTTTAAAATTTGGTAACTGCACTGAAAGCCAAAACCTGTTTTTTAAAATGCAGTTTGACTCACATAGGGAAAAGTATTTTGAGATGGGGAAAAGAATACCCTGGTTGAACAGATATATAATAAATAGTAACCCCAAGCCTAAGGGAAAGCCTTTGAGGGGAGTCATTCCTGAAACTTGCTGGCTGTCAGGAGGAACCCCCAGAATGCTCTGGGTTGGAGGGACCCTACAGCACCTCAAGGGACACTTCCCACCAGCCCAGGCTGCCCAGAGGAGCAGACACCACCCTGGGTTGTGGCTCAGGAACTCTTTCCCCCCCACATTAACTTTCCTATATTGAAACAATATCCCTGACAAAGCTGATGCTACCACACTCACCAGGGAACAGAATCTGCTCTGTGAGCTGACAAGAACTCCATTAAGAAAACAAGATAAGCATAAAATTTACTTCTTGGGCCTCTTTCTTCCAGGAGTGCTCAATTGCTGCAGCTCTGCCAACAACCTCCCCTTGCAGTGCCTGAGCAATCTCTTGATTATTGAATGCATTACTCAGCAGAGAGGAAAATTAGGCAGGGAATCAGATCAATAAGCAGAGTATATGAAGGCAAAGAGCAGCTTAATTCAGGGACACTTAGACTCCATAACTTCCCCAGAGCTCTGCCTTACAAGCCCCATTTAAGTGATGTCAAATAGCACGAAACACCATCGGAGTGAATTTCACAATAACCAAACTGTGTTGGGTGAATGTTGAAATCTTTGCTCATCACCTCAAGCTCTGAATTAAATGCAGAGACCCTGCACACCCTTCAGCAGAGTCCTTAACTACAGCAACTCAGAAATTATTTCCAGAACTATCACCAGTTACACAGGAACTACAATACACCAATTTTCCCTTGTCCTTCCTCTCCTTCTGCTGCTTAATCTGCTAAGCAGGATTGTCAGGGGAAAATGCCCCAGCTGTTTGACACCTTTCTCCTCCTTCTCTGCTACATGAAACTGAGCACCACGAAAACCTGCTGAAAACAGCTGCTCTTTGCAATGTGGTGGCTCTCCCAAGCATAAGATGTGACTTTCCTCTTTCCTGGAAGTGGAACATCCAGTCCTGATCATCTGACCCAGCTCAGGCTGATGGCATTTCCCTGTCTCCTCTTGGCATGCCCAAATCCTGCATGTATGTGTCAGCAGAATTGAGGGAAATGAGAAAAGATCTTCTGGCACATCTGGCTGGTAAAATAAATCCCCAAACGAGTCATTTAACGTGATAAATATATTGCAAACACACCCAGAACCCAGTGGGGAAACAAATACATAAAGACTTCAAGGCCAAACTCCTGCCTGACCAGCTTACAAATGTCCTGGTTTCCTTTCATGCCCAGGATCAAGGAGAACTACCCGTGGTGAGAACGAATGCCTATAAATAATAATTAGCACCATTCAGCTTCAAAGCTTTTTACAAATATTAACTGCTCATTGCTCCTGAGAGCCCTGGGAAGCACTGCAGGGAAGTGTTTTATGAGAGAAAACAGGGACACAGAGGCAGAGACCCAATGCTCAGGATCAGAGCAGCAGCCCCGATGCCTACTCAGGTGTTACTCTGACTTGGAGCACGTTCACTGCTCAGCTCCCTGGCCCTGCACTTCCCCTCTGCAAGCAGGACAAACACTCCCAAGGGTTCCACCCTCCTCAGAGGCTCCTTCCATGCATGTTTCCTTCCACCCTCTGGGAAGTGTCAATTGCCTGGTACCACAGAAAGGCTCAGGAGCAGTGAACAGGCACCCTGATGTCTTTCCTCCCTTCTCTGTGACTTGTTTGCACCTGAAGGATCAGGTAAGGACCAGTCCACACAGGAGCTGAAGCCTCACAGCTGCATCTGGAGCAGCAAAAGCCCCGTGTCACATTCAGCACTAAAGATCAGAGAAAGAGCTCCCCCAGCCAGAGAAAGGCTAGGATTTAATTTTTTTTAAAGGGAGTAAGTATCAGAATCAAAAATCAGAATTCCCATCTGGCTCTGGTTTTGCCATACTTGGAACGTGTGGGCCCCTCCTTCCTCTGGAACACAACAATGTCAAGAACTGCACAAACACTCTGTTCTCCAGACTCTGTGCTGGTGGTCCCACTGAAATCATCTCTATTTGAACTCCTCTGGAGCTTTGTCTGTTGTTGAGGCAAAAACATGGAAGTCATATTTAAATTGTTTTTAATCACAAAGTGGTACAAACAATTCAGGCTGCAAATGCTTTGCAGAGATAAAGAGGCTGATCCCTGCTCTTTGCAATCCTTAAGGAAGTGCTTTGGAATGTAAAGAGGCTGTGGCATCTTCAGCACATTATCCTTCCCCACCCTGAGGAGCCTAAAACACATCCAAAGCCACTTCCCAAAACATACAGCTCTCCCCCAATTCCTGGAGGAGCTGAATGGCTGCACTTGCCATGAAAAGGAACTCAAATACTGCAACGTTGCCAGCAGAGAAAACCCATTTAGATACAGCACATTTACTAAGCAAGAGAAAACAAAACTATCAGTACAAATGTGCTGGTTGCTACTTTT